GATTCGGATCTTCATCAGAACTATCAAAGTGATTCGGACCTGCATCAGAACTAGCAGTGATTCAGATCTTCATCAGAACAAGCAGTGATTCAGACCTTCATCAGAACTAGCAGGGTGATTCGGACCTTCATCAGAACTAGCAGGCTGATTTAGATCTTCATTAAAACTAGCATTGATTCAGATCTTCATCAGAAATAGCAGGGTGATTCAGATCTACATCAGAACTAGCAGGGTGATTTAGATCTTCATCAGAACTAGCAGGGTGATTTAGATCTTCATCAGAACTAGCAGGATGATTCAGATCTTCATCAGAACTAGCAGTTATTCAGATCTTCATCAGAACTAGCAGTGATTCAGACCTTCATCAGAACAAGCAGTGATTCAGACTTTCATCAGAACTAGCAGGGTGATTCAGACCTTCATCAGAACTACCAGGGTGATTTTGATCTTCATCAGAACAAGCAGTGATTCAGATCTTCATCAGAACTAGCAGGGTGATTTAGACCTTCATCAGAACAAGCAGTGATTCAGATCTTCATCAGAACAAGCAGTGATTCAGACCTTCATCAGAACTAACAGTGATTCAGACCTTCATCAGAACTAGCAGTGATTCAGACCTGCATCAGACCTAGCAGGGTGATTTAGATCTTCATCAGAACTAGCAGTGATTCAAATCTTCATCAGAACTAGCAGGGTGATTTAGATCTTCATCAGAACTAGCAGGGTGATTCAGATCTTCATCAGAACTAGCAGTTATTCAGATCTTCATCAGAACTAGCAGTGATTCAGATCTTCATCAGAACAAGCAGTGATTCAGACCTTCATCAGAACTAGCAGGGTGATTTAGATCTTCATCAGAACTAGCAGGGTGATTTAGATCTTCATCAGAACAAGCAGTGATTCAGATCTTCATCAGAACTAGCAGGGTGATTCAGACCTTCATCAGAACTAGCAGGGTGATTTTGATCTTCATCAGAACTAGCAGGCTGATTCAGATTTTCATCAGAGCTAGCAGGGTGATTCAGATCTTCATCAGAGCTAGCAGTGATTCGGACCTTCATCAGAACTAGCAAAGTGATTCGGACCTTCATCAGAACTAGCAGGGTGATTCAGATCTTCATCAGAACTAGCAGTGCTTCGGACCTTCATCAGAACTAGCAGGGTGATTCAGACCTTCATCAGAACTAGCAGGGTGATTCAGATCTTCATCAGAACAAGCAGTGATTCAGATCTTCATCAGAACTAGCAGGGTGATTTAGACCTTCATCAGAACTAGCAGGCTGATTCAGATCTTCATCAGAGCTAGCAGGGTGATTCAGATCTTCATCAGAGCTAGCAGTGATTCGGACCTTCAGCAGAACTAGCAAAGTGATTCGGACCTTCATCAGACCTAGCATGGTGATTTAGATCTTCATCAGAACTGGCAGTGATTCAGATCTTCATCAGAACTGGCAGGGTGATTCAGACCTACATCAGAACTAGCAGGGTGATTTAGATCTTCATCAGAACTAGCAGGGTGATTTAGATCTTCATCAGAACTAGCAGGGTGATTCAGATCTTCATCAGAACTAGCAGTTATTCAGATCTTCATCAGAACAAGCAGTGATTCAGACCTTCATCAGAACTAGCAGGGTGATTTAGATCTTCATCAGAACTAGCAGGGTGATTTAGATCTTCATCAGAACTACCAGGGTGATTCAGATCTTCATCAGAACTAGCAGTTATTCAGATCTTCATCAGAACTAGCAGTGATTCAGACCTTCATCAGAACAAGCAGTGATTCAGACCTTCATCAGAACTAGCAGGGTGATTTAGATCTTCATCAGAACTAGCAGGGTGATTTAGATCTTCATCAGAACAAGCAGTGATTCAGATCTTCATCAGAACTAGCAGGGTGATTCAGACCTTCATCAGAACTAGCAGGGTGGTTTAGATCTTCATCAGAACAAGCAGTGATTCAGATCTTCATCAGAACTAGCAGGGTGATTTAGATCTTCATCAGAACTAGCAGGGTGATTCAGATCTTCATCAGAACAAGCAGTGATTCAGATCTTCATCAGAACTAGCAGTAATTCAGATCTTCATCAGAACTAGCAGGGTGATTCGGACCTTCATCAGAAATATCAGGGTGATTCAGACCTTCATCTGAACTATCAGGGTGATTTAGATCTTCATCAGAACTAGCAGGGTGATTTAGATCTTCATCAGAACTAGCAGTGATTCAGACCTTCATCTGAACTAGCAGGGTGATTCAGACCTTCATCAGAACTAGCAGTGATTCAGATCTTCATCAGAACTAGCAGGGTGATTCGGACCTTCATCAGAAATATCAGGGTGATTCAGACCTTCATCTGAACTATCAGGGTGCTTTAGATCTTCATCAGAACTAGCAGGGTGATTTAGATCTTCATCAGAACTAGCAGTGATTCAGACCTTCATCTGAACTAGCAAAGTGATTCGGACCTTCATTAGAACTAGCAGTGATTCAGATCTTCATCAGAACTAGCAGGGTGATTTAGATCTTCATCAGAACTAGCAGTGATTCAGACCTTCATCTGAACTAGCAGGGTGATTCAGACCTTCATCAGAACTAGCAGTGATTTAGATCTTCATCAGAACTAGCAGGGTGATTCGGACCTTCATCAGAACTAGCAGGGTGATTCGGACCTTCATCAGAACTAGCAGGGTGATTTAGATCTTCATCAGAACTAGCAGGGTGATTTAGATCTTCATCAGAAATATCAGGGTGATTCAGACCTTCATCTGAACTATCAGGGTGCTTTAGATCTTCATCAGAACTAGCAGGGTGATTTAGATCTTCATCAGAACTAGCAGGGTGATTCGGACCTTCATCAGAACTAGCAGGGTGATTCGGACCTTCATCAGAACTAGCAGGGTGATTTAGATCTTCATCAGAACTAGCAGGGTGATTTAGATCTTCATCAGAAATATCAGGGTGATTTAGATCTTCATCAGAACTAGCAGGGTGATTTAGATCTTCATCAGAACTAGCAGGGTGATTCGGACCTTCATCAGAACTAGCAGGGTGATTTAGATCTTCATCAGAACTAGCAGGGTGATTTAGATCTTCATCAGAACTAGCAGCAGTGATTTCAGAACTAGCAGGGTGATTTAGATCTTCATCAGAACTAGCAGGGTGATTTAGATCTTCATCAGAACTAGCAGTGATTCAGATCTTCATCAGAACTAGCAGGGTGATTTAGATCTTCATCGGAACTAGCAGGGTGATTTAGATCTTCATCAGAACTAGCAGGGTGATTTAGATCTTCATCAGAAATATCAGGGTGATTCAGACCTTCATCTGAACTATCAGGGTGCTTTAGATCTTCATCAGAACTAGCAGGGTGATTCAGACCTTCATCTGAACTATCAGGGTGCTTTAGATCTTCATCAGAACTAGCAGGGTGATTTAGATCTTCATCAGAACTAGCAGGGTGATTCGGACCTTCATCAGAACTAGCAGGGTGATTCAGATCTTCATCAGAACTAGCAGGGTGATTTAGATCTTCATCAGAACTAGCAGGGTGATTCAGATCTTCATCAGAACAAGCAGTGATTCAGATCTTCATCAGAACTAGCAGTAATTAAGATCTTCATCAGAACTAGCAGGGTGATTCGGACCTTCATCAGAAATATCAGGGTGATTCAGACCTTCATCTGAACTATCAGGGTGATTTAGATCTTCATCAGAACTAGCAGGGTGATTTAGATCTTCATCAGAACTAGCAGTGATTCAGACCTTCATCTGAACTAGCAGGGTGATTCAGACCTGCATCAGAACTAGCAGTGATTCAGATCTTCATCAGAACTAGCAGGGTGATTCGGACCTTCATCAGAAATATCAGGGTGATTCAGACCTTCATCTGAACTATCAGGGTGCTTTAGATCTTCATCAGAACTAGCAGGGTGATTTAGATCTTCATCAGAACTAGCAGGGTGATTTAGATCTTCATCAGAAATATCAGGGTGATTCAGACCTTCATCGGAACTATCAGGGTGCTTTAGATCTTCATCAGAACTAGCAGGGTGATTCAGACCTTCATCTGAACTATCAGGGTGCTTTAGATCTTCATCAGAACTAGCAGGGTGATTTAGATCTTCATCAGAACTAGCAGGGTGATTCGGACCTTCATCAGAACTAGCAGGGTGATTTAGATCTTCATCAGAACTAGCAGGGTGATTTAGATCTTCATCAGAACTAGCAGGGTGATTCGGACCTTCATCAGAACTAGCAGGGTGATTTAGATCTTCATCAGAACTAGCAGGGTGATTTAGATCTTCATCAGAACTAGCAGTGATTCAGATCTTCATCAGAAGTAGCAGGGTGATTTAGATCTTCATCAGAACTAGCAGGGTGATTTAGATCTTCATCAGAACTAGCAGGGTGATTTAGATCTTCATCAGAACTAGCAGGGTGATTCGGACCTTCATCAGAAGTAGCAGGGTGATTTAGATCTTCATCAGAACTAGCAGGGTGATTTAGATCTTCATCAGAACTAGCAGTGATTCAGATCTTCATCAGAACTAGCAGGGTGATTTAGATCTTCATCAGAACTAGCAGAGTGATTTAGACCTTCATCAGAACTAGCAGGGTGGCTCATTATTTGTCCTGAGTAAACTAATCCTAAAATTCAAAATTAAATAAATCGGTGAGACACCTATCAAAGAAAAATCCCAGAGAAGATGGCGGATAGAAGGCAAGACATCTCTACAGCTGTAATGACTTTAACAGATTGAGATCAGTTTCTTCAATATCCGTATATATATAACGGTTCTGAGATACAGATATATGGTAACCATTCAGCCAGATCGACATACCATCCATACAAGTGGGTGAATACTTGTCCAAGGAACTGGCCTTTGGCTATGTAAATCAGGTACATTAGTGGTAGCTCATGAATAACAAACGTTACATGAACCAGAATGAAGGGTTTTAAAGATAGTGATCACGACGGTCACGTGTAGTAAAATATACTTACAGAGGCACGATGATACTGAGACAATGGTGGCGATGGGGGGTTGATGTAGGTGATACCGTTAATCTGAGGAGTGAAGAGATGATGGGCGTGATGACCAACTCCTGCCCTCATCTGAGACGACAACGAGTAGAAATCTGGGTCATGGAAGCGGTAGTTTTCCACCAAGTTGAAGTCCATACCAAGATAAAACTGCCTATCTGGGATGGATTTGAGAGAAATGTCGTTTGGTTCTGTCGATAACAGATCTGCCACAGTGATCACCCCGTCTGAATTCATCTCTTCGTTGAAGGGATTCAGCTTCTGTAGGGATAGATATCATAATTTCCTTATTTGTATTCATTCGAACAACAAAAAAACTACTTACTATATCTTCAAATAAAAACAGTATCAATGATTTTAATTTTCCCGTTATCTGTTAACATTCAACGGTCACTTAATACCAAATTTCGCCAGAAGAGTTTCCGATAAGGAAAAACAAAGCACGCCCCTGTTGATTTTACCGCGGCATAATCAGTGATTTGTTTACCTCGACCAAGGAATGGCAAATGAAAACATACATAAAATTTTGTGTGATTTTTATAAAGGCAAATGAGCTGTATAATAAAGCGATGTAAATGCTACACAAATATTAACTCAGTGGCAACATTGCAAATAAATTACTTACCATACCATATCGATGGCCACTTTCATAGTCCGTACATCCACGTGGAAGTGTGTCGGACGCATCTACATAACGCAGGATGGCGGTCTGAGCAGCAGATTTCATTTCTGGTCCACAATCTGCCATGCCCTTGGTTCGAATCCAATAATTATCAACAGGATTGGTGGCGTCAATTATAACATCATAACGTTCACCGGCAAACATATTTAAAGACTCTACCTTAACAGGTTTAAATGGAGATCCGTCAGAACTAATCACAATCAGAGTATGGTTATCAACAGAAAAATTAATGGGACAATTGTTGACTCCGTTGCTTATCAAACGGAATCGATGCCGGAAGCCTTGAGAAACAAGGAAGACAGCATGGGGCGTGTGCACTCCCCGGTCCTTACTACAACCTGGCTTTTCTGAGCTCCTTCTTGACCGTTGATGATGGTGATGGCCATCAGTTGTACCGTCAGTATGCATGTTTTCACGAGCACTTTCCAAATGCCCCTCTGGCGTTGTTGCAGGGTGTGTTCCGATTGGCTGTCCCATGTCGCCATGTGCATCATTCCCTGCCATTCCTTGGTGGTCACCATGAGACATAGGAGGTTCAGTGGCCAACATAGTCGGACTAGGACCATGTGACAAATGGTTAGAATTTTGATCATGTGATTGGTCACTATGCGTCATACCATTATGACCGGATATGATGGAACCTCCGCTGTGTACAGTTGGTTGGTTATGAGGTACTGTTCCCATTGAGTGCATCTCGTGGCCATCATGTCCATTGTTGGCCGTCGCGTGGTCCATGTGTCCATGGGAATGGTCGTTATGAGACGGAGACTCACTAAACAGATACTTGGACCCGTGACCTGATCATAGAAATTTCATTAGTATCAATTCGACTTAAATGCATCAATACAAAAAAGTAAAAAAAAAACGATCCAAATGACGGTGTGAGATGTCGCGCAACAGTTAAGGTTATATGTTGTCAACCAATGACGATGGAGCCAGTGCAACTCCTTAAATAGCTTAGATTTGCTGACCAATGCACGTAACCCAATGACAAGTAACATACAATAGACACGTGACACTGACCGTTAATGAGGATGGAGTCCGGAGCGTGTTCAGTCATAGCGTGGTGGTGTCCGGTGTATCGAGTGGCGCTCATTTCCGACAACCAATCATTAATGATCACCGTATGGTCAGGGAGGTCGAAATCATACTCAGCAGCATGCACGTCACGTGATCGTGGTTGGCGAATCACAAGAGCCCCAAATAGACCATCAGCTCTTTGCAGGCCGGCGTGCGCATGCCAATAATGAGTGCCCGGAAGTTCTGCCAAAAAACTAATAATATATTTCCTCTTAGCATACAGCGTATCTATTTGATATCATACAATGAAAAATTCAGTCAGATGACGTCTTCGGCGATTTGTGAATGATACAAAGTGTAACTTTACATACTCGTACTGAAATGTGGAGTGAGCATGGATAGGGCACTGCGTCAACATGGAAACGCCGTCCATGTGAGGAGTTCCGTGTTGGAGAACCCCGTGCCAATGAATGGTGGTCCCCTCTGATCCTTCTAGCATGTTCTTTACATTCACCCGGATAACATCTCCGACACAAACCTACAATACATTATCTTGATATCTTCAATCTATATCGTAAATAACATCACAGTCGCTACAATTGGAATACCCACTTTTAGGATCTGGAAATATGCAAGAACTGAACGCGACTTTAATTATGATCCAACAATAAACATAGTGATCAACGTAATTCTAGTATCACTGACGCGACCAACAAGGACGGAACAGTTGTGGGACAGACTCTAGTATCACTGACGCGTCACACAAGGACGAAACAGTCCTACGACACACTCTAGTATCACTGACGCGACGAACAAGGACGGAACAGTTGTGGGACAGACTCTAGTATCACTGACGCGTCACACAAGGACGAAACAGTCCTACGACACACTCTAGTATCACTGACGCGACGAACAAGGACGGAACAGTTGTGGGACAGACTCTAGTATCACTGACGCGTCACACAAGGACGGAACAGTCCTACGACACACTCTAGTATCACTGACGCGTCCAATATGGACGGAACAGTCGTACTACACACTCTAGTATCACTGACGCGTCACACAAGGACGGAACAGTTGTGGAACAGACTCTAGTATCACTGATGCGTCACACAAGGACGGAACAGTCCTACGACACACTCTAGTATCACTGACGCGACCAATAAGGACGGAACAGTTGTGGAACAGACTCTAGTATCACTGACGCGTCACACAAGGACGGAACAGTCCTACGACACACTCTAGTATCACTGACGCGTCCAACATGGACGGAACAGTCGTACAACACACTCTAGTATCACTGACGCGTCCAACATGGACGGAACAGTCGTACTACACACTCTAGTATCACTGACGCGTCCAACATTGACGTAACAGTCGTACTACACACTCTAGTATCACTGACGCGTCCAGCAAGGACACAACAGTTGTGGGACAGACTCTAGTATCACTGACGCGTCCAACATGAACGTAACAGTCGTGCTACACACTCTAGTATCACTGAAGCGACCAACATGGACGGAACAGTCGTACTACACACTCTAGTATCACTGACGCGACCAACATGGACGTTACAGTCGTACTACACTCTCTAGTATCACTGACGCGTCCAGCAAGGACAGAACAGTTGTGGGACAGACTCTAGTATCACTGACGCGTCCAACATGGACGGAACAGTCGTACTACACACTCTAGTATCACTGACGCGACCAACACGGACGGAACAGTCGTACTACACACTCTAGTATCACTGACGCGTCCAACATGGACGTAACAGTCGTACTACACACTCTAGTATCACTGACGCGACCAACATCGACGGATCAGTCGTACTACACACTCTAGTATCACTGACGCGACCAACATGGACGCAACAGTCGTAATACACACTCTAGAACACTGACGCGACCAACATTGACGGCTCAGTCGTACTACACACTCTAGTATCACTGACGCGACCAACATGGACGTAACAGTCGTACTACACACTCTAGTATCACTGACGCGTCCAGCAAGGACAGAACAGTTGTGGGACACACTCTAGTATCGCTGACGCGTCCTGCAATAACAAGTTCCCAATGACTTGGATATGTCATAGCCTTGTTACAAGTGATATCGAAAAGTTTAGAAATAGCTTATTAGAATACTCACGTGAATTCCAGGTCCTGGAATCATTCTGTTAACAGTCAATATACCACGTGACCTTCCATCTGCAGGCACGCAATGCGGGCGAAAACAGTCCGTCTGGTTGTACGGGCAGTTGTAGCAGGCGCGAGTAAGGGTGTAGTAGTACTCAATAATAAAATCGTACTCGCAAACCAGTGACGGGGCGCCCTCTACACACTCTCGTGAGCAAGGATGGTTGTGGTAATCTGACAGGAAAAGAGAAGAACTTCACAATGGAAATAGAAGTAAATTTATAGATACGTGTTGCAAAAGAGTAATCCGCCGTAAGACATGTACCTATTAGGCGATCGTATATTCGTATATGTGTAACTTTATTAGTAAGTTATCAGGTTAACATATTGTATGACATCACAAATATTTCATTCTTCATCCAAAGGTTTTGAGTGAAACACTTTCACTACCAAATGAAACACCTCTAAGATTAATAAGTTATGCTGTGCTGAGGCTCCGAAATGAACATTGTACATTGTCTTCTATTGTAGCAGATGGTTCTAAAGGGTAACGATGGTGTACAATATACTAGTAAATATCAGTTGGGTCTCTGTTCACAACAAACAACCTCTACTGCATGAGGCTATTTTACCGCTAAACTTTGGACTAGTTCACGCTGATCCCCAACAATGGACTGGTTCACGCTGATTCCCAGCTATGGACTGGTTCACACTGATTCCCAGCTATGGACTGGGTCATGCTGATCCCCAGCTACGGACTGGGTCATGCTGATCCCCAGCTACGGACTTATCCACGCTGACTCCCAGTTATGGAATGGTTCACACTGATTCCAAGCTATGGACTGGTTCTCGCTGATTCCCAGCTATGAACTGGTTCACGCTGATCCCCAGTTATGGACTGGTTCACGCTGATTCCCAGCTATGGACTGGTTCACACTGATCCCCGGGTATGAACTGGTTCACGCTGATCCCTAGCTACGGACTGGTCCACGTGATTCCCAGCTATTGAACGGTTCCCAATGATCCCCAGCTATGGACTGGTTCACGCTGATTCCCAGCTATGAACTGGTAAACGCTGACTGCCAGCTATGGACTGATTCATACTGATTGCCTGCTATGGACTAGTCCACACTGATTCCCAGATATGGACTGGTTCACACTTATTCCCAGCTAAGAATTGGTTCCCAATGATCCCCAGCTATGAACTGGTTCACGCTGATTCCCAGCTATGAACTGGTTCAGGCTGATCCTCAGTTATGGACTGGTTCACGCTGATTCCCAGCTATGGACCAGTTCACGCTGATTCCTAGCTATGGACCAGTTCACGCTGATTCCTAGCTATGGACTAGTTCACATTGATTCTCAGCTATGGACTGGTTCACGCTGATTATCAGCTATGGACTAGTTCACATTGATTCCCAGCTATGGACAAGTTCACGCTGATTCTCAACTATGGACTGGTTCACGCTGATTGTTAGCAATGGACTGGTTCACACTGATTCCCAGCTATGGACTGGTTCACATTGATTCTCAGCTATGGACTGGTTCACACTGATCCCCGGGTATGAACTGGTTCACGCTGATCCCTAGCTACGGACTGGTCCACGTGATTCCCAGCTATTGAACGGTTCCCAATGATCCCCAGCTATGGACTGGTTCACGTTGATTCCCAGCTATGAACTGGTTCACGCTGATCCCCAACTATGGACTGGTTCACGCTGATCCCCAACTATGGACTGGTTCACGCTGATCCCCAGTTATGGACTGGTTCACGCTGATCCCCAACTATGGACTAGTTCACGCTGATCCCCAGCTATGGACTGGTTCACGCTGATCCCCAGCTATGGACTGGTTCACGCTGATCCCCAGCTATGGACTGGTTCACGCTGATCCCCAGCTATGGACTGGTTCACGCTGATCCCCAGCTATGGACTGGTTCACGCTGATCCTCAGCTATGGACTGGTTCACGCTGATCCCCAGCTATGTGGACTAGTTCACGCTGATCCCCAGCTATGGACTGGTTCACGCTGATCCCCAGCTATGGACTGGTTCACGCTGATCCCCAGCTATGGACTGGTTCACGCTGATCCCCAGCTATGGACTGGTTCACGCTGATCCCCAGCTATGGACTGGTTCACGCTGATCCCCAGCTATGGACTGGTTCACGCTGATCCCCAGCTATGAACTGGTTCACGCTGATTCCCAGCTATGAACTGGTTCAGGCTGATTTGAGATACTATATAATTATTTTAACACTACGGTTACTTTCTGCTTTCTCGTAATGTCATCATTAAAAAATAGTATCTATAATAATGAAAAATAATGTAAAAAGCTGTGACCACTGGTAGTTGTGTTTCCTATCTATTTCTATATGAATATCACATTTTATGTTACAGATATCGAGAATGATAGTTGGTTGGTAACTTTTCATTTCATACCTATGTTATACGTCAATACACGGTAAATTTCGAGTAATGTTGAATGTGCAGTCATCCTTGAACACGAACATATATAATCCCTGTGTGAATCATATTCATATCGCACTGCTATCGAGTCATTTTGCCAAATTATTGAAGAACAGCAACAAAAACACCTGATTGTTAAATCTACAGTGACGTCATATCAACACTTCATTTGCGGGAGTTAATGCGTTTTTATATTTAGCGCGTCGCTTCGGGAGGCCGTAATGCAATCTATGGTAAAACGAACTCAGAGTATAACGGAGTGAAGTAATTTCATGTTCAACATGGTGATTAAGTTCTATGTCATCCACTGGGAAGTAATATAGGTTGAGTGGGCCGAAATTCTCAAACTGGCAGTAAATGCGTCAAAGTTGACGCTATTAACACTATTCAACAAGAAAATCGTCCAGCGTTATTAGATCGTTAAACGGAGATAAATTTGTCTGCGGAGAGCGACAATGGGGAGGGGTGAACTTTGGGTTAGATATATGTGAGAAGTGTTCTAGTGTTAGGATCACGTCCCATCCTTCTCTTAAATACCTAGACATCAAAGCTCCTTGACGCTAAAAACAAGCGAATGTTGATTTAAGGTAACTCTGCTTGGGTTTCCAGAGAAACGCACGTCAATCAGAACCAACATAGACATTTCAACTTTCCGTCGAGTATCCGAATCTACCGTTACATCATGACGGAAAGACCCGAACCCTTTCTGAATGAAAGTTTTCATTAGAATTCGTTTGTAGTTAAATCTAATGGGTTTACAACGGAAACATAAATATTTATGAAGGATGACGAAAGCTAAAACACAGCGAAGGCGCATTCGGTGACCTCCAGTTCGAAATAAACTATTCTAAATTCTGACTAGGAACACAGGTGCGGAAAACAGAAAAAGGTATTTAATATGTAAATATACCGTACAAACTGATATTATGATTATAATATCTACAAACTATGTACTGTTTGTGTCTCCAGTTCGATAATGTTCTGGAACAAGTGACCCTTAAGCTATAGCTTCTCTTGGTTTTGTTCAGACATTGATTTGTCCTGACATAATCATTTTTCAAAGTTTACAGCTCGTTGCACTACTAAACCCCGTGCTTTTGTCCCTCAGGTTATATCAAACTGGATTACATCAACATATTTATGTTCAAGGCTAAATTTGGTCAACAAATTCCATCCCTCCCGAATACATCAAATAATTTTAAGCGACTCCTCCATTTCCACTAATGAGCTCGGCTCTGTCCCCATGGAGAGAAGTAGTGATGGTGGTGGTGTTAATTGTTGAGAGAAGCCCACACTTTTTACATCAGATTGCGTTCTCTTTAGTTAACGATGCTTCCGACAAAATTTGATATAATCCCGTCATTCCTACAGACGGGTTTAGGAAAACAACCTAATTTTCCTTATTGTACCCCACCACCAGCCCCAATGGGGTAAACACGTAACGTTACAAAATTGTTACCTCAAGGATACCTGTAACTAAGCGGATCAAAATAGGCATTCTGAAGTTTTGCATCACTTTCCTGTCCTACCCTCTCTCACAACGGGGACAGATCAAGACGATGAACAAATTCCTGGATTTCCTACAAAAGAAGTATTTTAAAGAATTTGCCTGATTTCCCCTCCTGTGCCCCGCCCCTGAGGCCCTAGACCCATGAAAAATTTGCTCCATGCCATTTGCCCCCATATCGTTTTATCGAGGTGAGGTAAAATTGTTAATGTTCATGGTGATATTGACATGAGAGAAGATGAGAAAAACACAACTGATTATAACGTTTCTATGCGGGCTTTTGAAGTTGCACTATTGCCTGGTGATTTTTTTTATTCTTCTACCATTGGAATAAGTCCGTTTATTACAATTGTGTGTTGTCTACGAAAGACATTTCATTATCGCCACCAGACTAAGTTATCGTATTTTTATCAGGACAGTGAACCAGCCAACGAACCAGGTAACGCGTCATTTTATGTACAATAATATATCAAATATTAATCTAAATTCTCGTTAAAAACACACGAATCTAACTGAAAACTGAGTTCAATCATACAAATGTATCAAAACCAAGGAATTAATCAAGCGAGTGGTGCTTAACCCAGTTTGACCATGAAATGGGGTCGAGTTTAACCCAGTTTGACCATGAAATGGGGTCGAGTTTAACCCAGTTTGACCATGAAATGGGGTCGAGTTTAACTCAGTTTAATCGTTAGAAGTGGTCTATTGGCATTAACAGTCATCTGACAACAAAATCATTCACTTCAGAAATCATTGAACCCCCACGTGATGTTTCAAATGAAAGTTTGCTGAAATCCACTTTGGCATGTAAGAATGCCCGCATTGGAACGCAAAATTTTCACCTAAAAAACTCCCTCTCTAGTCACTAGAGGTCAAATCAATCGTCTGTATGTAAGAAACAATTGCCTATCTTCCAGGACTATTCAGGCAATATCACTTAGGCGTTAGAGAGGAGCAGCATTTTAGAGGAGAAGTTTACGGACGGTTGAAGACGGACGGAACACGAGGCCAAAATGGAGCTTAATGCAACGTCTTAATATGCTAACTGATTTTTACGTAAATCAGTGAAAAGGTAACTACATGGTCGGTGTGACAGACTTAGATTACATGTTTACGAACAGTAGTGTGTATTATCGTGTTTACCACTGAAATATGAGATAAACGTGAGAGGTTTGAGAACGCGAAAATGAATCTACAACCTCTCACACACAGCTGTTACGTAAGTAAAAGTTTACCTCCATCTTTCCATTTTGATGACCCTGCACATTTGTTCAAATTATTTTCTTTAGTACGTAACAGAAACGTTGAGGAAAACGGCAAATACGTGATAATTTATTACGGAGACTACTTATAAAAAGGTGACATTTCCGCTGTTAGAGTTATTTAAGGTGTCAAGAGCTGCCGACAACAGACGACGCACAGGACGGAGTATACACACACTATACACACTCATGCATCCTTACGTTTTGCCACAGTCCTATCACGATGGGTTTCGTAACATACGTCCTTTGTCGAGATATCTCCAGGTTTACTCACCAACATCAGACCTATTAACCCCAAGTAAGCACAAAGTCATACAACGTTAGCACAACATCTGAAGAGGGACACAACAACGACATAACAGAGCAAACATACTACAGCACGCGACGTAATAAACTAGTTATGAACGTAATAAACTAGCTAAAGCATAAAAAGCATGGACAACATTGGTGACGTGTTAGTTCCGTAGTATTAGCACGGCAAATGGGGAGGTGCTAAATCAGCATGTTCTCCTTATCTTAGCATGACATACATATATGTACATAGATGTCATAAAGTCCTGGCTTTGATACAGGAGACGTGCTAGCCACCACTGCCGTTATCAGCACATGTACGACCTATCTAACATGGATTAGGATTAGGATTAGAACATCGGACGTTGATTATCATGAACTATGATAACTATTGTTCATTAATAGTAAGTAATCCAACTGTATAACGTTGATAACAGAGGGGGAAAACCCACGTCTTTGCAATGCTTATCGTCCCGTGAATTTCCATGGCGATCATGAAGTGTGATCTCGTCTAAAGACACAATTACAACAACACCATTACTTAATCTCGGCTTTCTATTACCGGGAACACAAAGCGCTGAAATTTATCTGAAGTCAAGTATTTAACCAGTACTCCAAGAAACAGCGACAACAAATTTTTATTGTCAAAATCAACAATGGCCGCCTACCACTACATTTTTATGATCCGTCCCAAAATCAAATTTGAATTTAAATCAATTTTATTGCATAAATATTACACAAAAGGATCGGACGCAAGTTGTCACAACTAATAAATGTCATCTCCATAATACAATTATACATATGCATAACTTAGCAATGGTCTAAATTAATCAGTATACAAATGAAATTTTCTAATTATAAGTAAGGTGCAAACAACAGAAAGAAAAAGAGATGCGGAAATAATGAATAAGAAAACAAAGGAGGTGCTAAGGGCTCGTCAAATGGCACGGTCGACATGTAGACATATAATGACCTGTATTTGTACTTACAAAATCTTTTACTGTCGACAATAAAATTTTGCACGTGTTAACAAACCCAAAATCAAAAGAGCACCACTTAAGACCAAGGGAAACCTACACGTGGTATTTGAGCTAGATCCATCCAATACTTCAAGAAATAGCGATAACAAATTATTATTGTCAAAATACAAGATGGCCGTCTGTCAGTCATTTAAGTTTCAGGGATCATTCCAAAAAGGAGAACACGCACAACCAGGGACTAAGAGAAACCGCATATGAAATTGAAAATAACCCATCGAGTACTTCCTTAGAATTACGTTAACTACCTACCACTGCTTAAACTTAATATGGCCACCCATCATGGCACTTTGCTTTTTCCGATCAGTCCCAATATGAACAATACACAACTAGTAACCAAGGGACATCTGCATATCAAATCTGAAAATGATCCATCCAGTAATTCCCAAGAAATAGTGATAACAAGAATAATTTACAACAGACAAGGCACGAACGAAAGACCATGGACGAAGGGCGATTTAAACAAGGCACAATCCGATGATGTTGGGCTGAAAACGCTGAACTTGCCAAGCATGTTGTTGATAATCATAGTGACAAATATTGCAAATCGTAAGACAAGTTGACAGAATAGCTGAAGGTCAAGGTGACACTAGAATTAATTTAGGGTATGTCTGTTACGTTACCTACATCTCATTCTACATGGGATGTTACCTTGTCAAACGTAGGCTCATTAAATTTTCACAACCACACTTTACAATTGTATGCTTTACCTACTCTTCATGTTATGACTAATCGGGGGTTTTAGGCCAACGCGGAAATGGTTTCGCAAATGACACAGTGTGGTTTTGAAATAGTAAGGACAATCGACATTTGATGTAAATTTAGCCAAGTTTTATAACAATGCAGCTTTCATTTTAAAGGCCAAATATCACCATGTAATAGCATTTAACCTCAACCCTTTATCTTAACATCATATCATTTACAAATGTAGATCGCGTGAGAATGACAGAACACTGCCATCTCTTGGCAAGTTTTCTTCAGGAAACTCAGTATCGTTATTGTATGGCACAAAAAGATTCTAGTATCCAATACCCTTTCATAACAAGACAACCATGTGACATAAACGTGATGTAGCTAAACTGATTCATACAAAAGAATGTGGTAACCAGTTGATGTGGCAAAACCGTAACTTATAGAAGATTGTAGCAACCAACTGATGTGGCTAAACTGTAAACTATAAAAGCATGTGGCAACCAACTGATGTGGCAAAAGCGTAAACTATAGAAGCATGTGGCTCCCAACTGATGTGACTTAACTGTAAACTATAGAAGAATGTGGCAACCAACTGATGTGGCAAAACCGTAAACTATAGAAGCATGTGGCACCCAACTGATGTGGTTAAACCGTAACTTATAGAAGCATGTGGCAATATATGTGATATATGACACATGTTTAAGACTGTAATTTGTACGAAACTCGCGCATTTAAACTACACCATCTTTATCAAAATAAGTTCCGTCTCAATGCGGAATCATAAATCAATTTACCGTTTCATTTCCAACTCAACACAAGATGGCACGCATCGTCTTGGCATTGAATGAATATTTGATTTCATATAAATCACTTCCGAGAAATATATTTTCGTCTAAAGACGAGGGATTTTGGAAGGTCATTTTTCTTCACATAGCATTCAACGCATTACAACATGTGTATAGGTTTATGGATTGCACGTTCTTCTTGTCGATACGTTGATTGTAGTCACAAATCGACTGAAGTCTCGACCAACGAAACGTTGAGCTGAACTTTTGTCGAATGTAATGGCATATACATTTTCTTATGAAATATAATTAGCTACTTACTTGACATCGACGGCTTCCATGGCAACGATGGATTCCAAGGCGTGACCGAGCGGGAGGTGGGGAGGGAGCCGAGAATCACCATGACGACGACCCAAACGAGAGATGTCAAGGTCATCTTCGATGAATGGTGTGTCTGCAAAACACAAAACGTCTATATCTTAAACTTCTGGAGGGAAAAGTGTTAATGGAAGGCACACATCAACGTTTTAAAAATAACATTTAGAATTCGCCAGCATCCTTAGTAAAGTTCATAGCAGCCCTGATAACTTAACCTTCGACCCCTATTCATATTCGCAGAAAAGTTCGTAAACTCCGAAGAGTGGATATCGGGTGCATAGATTTTTTCTGCCTTATTTCTAACCATTGTCTGAAAAGATAACTATGAGGGTGATACAGTACATTGAAATCAGTGGATGTCATCTCATTTACAGGTCAGAGCATCGTAAGTTTAACATTAACAGCCTGATAAGCGCATGCGCGTCTGCTCGACAGTCGTCGATATGCACGAGCCTGGTTTGCCGATGTTTACAGATATTATTAGACACATTATCGCTAAATGCCAAACAAATTGTATTTGTTCAGGATAGTGTTTTCAAGGCTATCATTGTTTAAATTTCTATGCAACCAATTCAGATAAAATGTTTGGCACAGAAATTGCGTGTTAGCATACTTCTACCGATTATCAATATTAGGAGATGCGTCATCATCATCAAACTTTACCCCCACCCCCCATTCCCCAGGAGGGGTCTGCATACACAGGAAATCCACAATAAGAAGAAAAAGGGTAAGTAGTCCTACCATGCACCGTTAGAGTAATTTGATCTGTTATGAAATACTGTCTTAATAAGTTGATGCGTTGCGTCGAAAGCGGCATGTTTCAAATTTCAGCCCTAACTGTGATGTGCTCGGATTGTTGACAGTGAAAGTCGAGAGAAGTGATACAGGTGTAGCTCCCTCGCCGTTTCTGATGTGAAAATGTATCAGGATGTTCTGTCTGACGACATGGGTTCCTGTGTACCCAAGTTTTCTCCCACAGAAAGGCCCAATGACCGCTTCCATCCGAACAAGACTGGCTACCCCCTTCCACCCCCCTTTTTCAGCTCTACTATTCACTGACTATTTAAGGCTGTGTACCCGAAGACTTGTGCAATTTGGTAAGTTTTTGTCGAAGAGTTAGCACTCTACAGTAAACATATGGTACAGTAAACAGGTGGTAGGCGGAACTTAAGGGAGTCAGGCAGGCATTGAGGGTGACGCCCGTCCTGGACCTGTCACTGTTGTAACCTCAGAAATGGTCAATAAAGTCAATGATACTGTTATGACTGACCGGCGAGTTACAGAGAGATACATAGCAACTACAGCTTGGATTTGACAGGGAAGAGTACATTCTATTCTTACGGAAGATCTTGCAATGATATTGCTCTCAGCCCGTTGAGTACGAAGACTTCTGACATTTGATCAGAAGCACACCAAGCGGACTTTGTCGCGTGCTAATCTGAACCTTATAGAGGCAGATCCTGCTAACTTTCTGCAGAGATTTGACTATGGATGAAACATGGGTACATCATTTCACCCTAGAGGCCAAATAATTGTCTAAATGATGGAAGCACCCTGGTTCACTTCCGCCAAAGAAGGCAAAGACTGTTCCATCAGCTGGAAAGGTTATGGTCTCAGTTTTCTAGGATGTTTATGGCTGATTATCTGCAAAAGGGACAACCAATCAATAGCAGAAAAAAAGCATCACTCCTTAGGCAGTTAAGAGAAAATATTAAACCCATGCGCGGCGGAAAACTCAGTAAAGGTGTAAATAATATTCCACCAGGACAATGCCCTGTTCACAAGTTTTCAATGTCATGACAGCCATTAACGAGTGTGGCTTTGAATTGATTTGAATATCCGTCTTATTCGCCAAATCATTTCCGGTACCCACTTCCGGTAGGACAATAACGTCATGCAGTGGATGACTTTCTGGACGGTCAAGAAAATGACTTCTTTAAAAGTGGCATTGAGGCCCTTAAACATCGCTGGCAAAATGCATAGATCCTGAACGGGGTTATGCTGAAAAATAATGCAATATGTTCACCAAAAATCAAACCCTTAAATGTGAGGCTCACAACACAATCTGCACTCGTAGTAGCTGGGTCATTTGTTGGTAGGATCTCGCATCTCTATAGACATTTTATACGTTGTAATTACAAGGTTTAGGTCAGCAGGGGACAAGTAAATAAAATGGTAAATGTAATCATTAAAATGCAGAAGTGAAGTAACCGTTTAGCGATAACAGATAAAATATCTTATATAGCGGTCATACAAAGGACACACTACTATAGGTACTTAGTTCGGACAAGACACGTGATACCAGTTTGAAATTTAAAAGATCATTTATTTCAAGTCAGATACCTAACTTCATTGGTGAATTACTTGACGTAGTATTTTTAAATCGTCACTGTAGATTTCAGCGGATGAGATTTTCGATTTAAGCATCATATCCAAGGCATTTAGAACTTCGATATTTTTTGTAAAATATTTTTCAATATATCATTTATATAACAAATGAAGAGATAGGTTCTAGGGGCCGACAAGGTGAACTGTTTTCACGCTCTGTTGTGTTTGCTCGAGATGATAAGTATTCAGTAATTAATGCATGAATCCTCGTCACTCGCAACTTATCAAACCATCAAACCCTCGCTATCCTGTTTCACTCCAAAACCACAAAATAACCGATACTTAAGACAGCGCGGACAACTCGTAAGGCCATAATCCCCGCGAGGATAATATGGTTGCTAAGCAGGTGATCCCCGTCGTGTCGGTGCTGGCCCAGTTTTATAATTAATCAAGATATGTTTTCTAACGTTGCTGGCTTTCGAGGCGGACTTGGTCTCAACAACCCTATTCATGAAAGTGACCACACATTTACATAAATTCATATGATTTACATGTTATGTCAAATACACGTGTTTTGTTTCCCTCAGTTTAAACATTTTGAAGGCTAAAGTAAACAAACATATATAGAATTTACACATGTATATGACCTACCATTGTTTACATACAGGGAATCGTGTTTTACTGGTCTCTGAAAACTTAACATTCTACAGTAGATACTGAAATCGAGAAAAAAACACATCACGTAACATAAACTATAGAATAAAACTACCCCATCCCAATATTATCTGTAACGAATAGAGCAACAACAGGGATATACTACTTACCGACCGGATAAACGGGAAAATTGAAGCTCGAACACAAAGGTATCTCTGTAAGGCGTATCCCGCCGTGTAAACCTCTTACATCGTTGCTACATTTTTATGGAGTTGCTACATTTTTATGGAGTATCACTTATTTTCCTTCATCGACTAGAACTTCTCACCGTGAAGAGAACATATCGCCGTGAAGATAATCTTCCATCAGATGTGCCATTAACTCACCTCTCAGAACACCTCGAGGATGACTACCAGAACACAATTCCGAGGCCAACAGCTATTTCATGTCCAACAAATATGCCACAGTTTCAGAGCATGATTGTACATAATGTAAATCAACATGTACAGCGAAAGGTCCCCGCGTGTGTCCGTTCGATAATAGAATGTTGAGAATCAATATCAGTTGAATCTAGACCGTACGTTCGGTTATGTATAAACTAGTATACCTGTTAATCCGTAAAGCTCTCGATGTAATTACTACGGCACAAAGTACCCCGACGCCGTCACAACAAAAAGGTTTATCTCTCTCAAACGACATGCATTCCAAATGGGTTATGGCATTTCGAGTCAACAAGATTGAACTATAGTTGTATAAATCTTGTTTAAAATTCAAGTTTTAAATTATTTTGAAGAAGATAAACACCTTTTAAATATCCACCACGATCATTCTCTCTGGAAACGACGCCATTTTAATTCACAGAGACTAAGGTAACAGTCAAGTTTATAATGGACCTTTCCTTATCAGTGTTTTTTCTTATAAATGATATACCAGGGTAAATGTCATTTTACGAATTGTTGATTATAATACGATTCTCTAATACTAGTTTTATACAGAAAATGGTACATAAAACACTATATGATTCTCAAGTCCCTCAAATACACACTCTGTTTGGCCCATAATCACATAGACTTTAACCAGTTCTCACGTCTATGCGATACAGACCAGGATAGGTCCATATTCTTATAGGCCGTAACTAATTAACATGTCCCTGTGGTACAGACAATGATAAGTCATTATTCATCTCGAATGTAACTAATTAACATGTCCCTGTGCTACAGACAATGATAAAAGTCCATATTCATCTAGACATAACATATTCTTCCTGTAACATAGGCCGGAACAGGCCCATATTCATCGAGACTGTAACAATTCTAATGTCCCTGTGGTAGAGACAAGGATAGGTCCATCTTCACTTACATATAACTTATTCTGATGTCCTAGTTTATACAGACCTGGATAAGTTTATATTCAAATAGACTGTAACTTATTCTGTGCTTTTAAGTTGATATATCTCCACTGATATGCCCAAGTCGAACGTACAATCTTTAAAAAGACATACAAAGTAATGCACATTGGTGGAATTCTCCCGAAGTGAATTTGGATCTTTGGTATAACAAATTTAAAACATTTATTTATCCATCAGTAAAGGAGTGTTCGCGTCATGTTTCATGCACCATTAGACATTACTAATCAGATGCCATATGTAATCGCTGACTACCTACACGTGATATATATCAATAGTAGATTTACCACACATTTCATAGTTGGTGTTATCTAAATCTGTAATTTTCAGGCCGACGTTTCTGTGGGTAAATCATTGATGATCACGTGCATGGCTTCCTTTACGCATCTGGTTTCACAATATCGTCCCATAAAATAATTAATTGCGTCTTATTTCTTTCCAGATTTGGAGCAGCTCCCTACAAGCCCATTTCAATTGTGTCTGCGTACACATAATACTGTCTGATGATCACTATTATAAGATAAAGACTATCAACCATTTTCATATATATCTGATCTTCCCAACTTTGTACATAATTATTCCAACTTTTGCCTAATTTGGAGATTTGAAAAAAAATCTACAATACACTGCTGTCCCATGCAGAGAAGCAAACAGGATAATTAGTGAGACGG